TCTAGCTGTGGAAAAACTTCTCTTTCCTTGAATTTTACCCACAGGGAAAAATGTTTTTTCTATTTTCTTTAATCCATTAATCAATTTCCAGGAAATAAACATTTACTGGAAAAACTTTCCTTTTCTCCAGTTGAATATCACGTCGGTTCAAAATCACTGGAGAATATACTTTTTCTTTAGCAGCGGAAAAACTCTAACTCAATTTCTTGAATTTTACCCATAGGTAAAATACCTTTTTTTATTTTTCTTTTGAGCCATTAATTCATTTTCCAGGAAATAAAAACTTTACTGGAAAATGAAAAAACAAAAAACTGATTGATTCTTTCTCACTGTTCTTTGATTGGGCTAGAACTGCCACAGTGGCCCGGCCCACCATTGCCTTTCACTTTCGCGGCAGGCTTGCATACCGACCCCAAAGCCGCACACTCTGGGTCGGCAAAAAGCGCTCGCCATTGTGCTCGCTCATTTGAAAAGCCGCCCGTGCTTCCATCGCCGTCAGATCTCATCCGACGACCATCCGTTCATCTCGGCCGAATAAAAACCTCCTCCGGCCACGGTCAGCAAAACCCTAGCGTTCATTCGGTTCTTTCCTTTCTCTCTCCGTCTACGCCGCTCTCTTCTCTCTCAGCGCACCCGCAGCCACCGAGAGGATACTGAGCGAGAGCGAGCAGCGACCATGGCGCCGTCACCGGCCCCCTCGCCAGCGCGCGTGGTCCCCAATGGGTGAGCACGCCGCCGTCGAGCGGCCTGGCCACGGCGCCCCCTTGCCGAGCCTGGAGAGCCAGCTCCCTGGCTCGTCTTCTTGTCCCACGCCGGCGAAGGGCTGGCTCGGCTCTTCTTCTTCCACACCGGCGAAGGTGGGTCAGTCCCCCTTTTCCCTTCTTCCCTGTCCCTTCTCTCTTCTGGGATTAACCCGTGGTGGGGGTGGGGTCAAAATTAGGGTTAGGGTTTCGCTTTTCGATTTGATTTTGCCGATTCGGTTTTCTGTTCTTTGATTTCTTTTCTTTTCGTTCATCCGAATGGGTTCCCTTCCCATTCGAATCGGTTCCTTTCCTCTTCTCCCTTTCTCCTTTCCCATCCCCTTCTTTCGATTTGGACTGTGTTCTTCTCTTTTTCGAACCAGTGGATGGGAATAGGGTTTAGATCTTGGGTTAGGGTTCGGAAAACGACCTACCCCTTTTCTTTGTTCTTTTCTTTGATTACTTTTCTCTTTTGGAGTTCATCCGAATGGCTTTCTCCTTTTCCCTTTCTCCATGCGAGTTAGGGTTAGGTCTTAGGGTTCGGCCAAATCCGAACCCACTCTTCTTCTTTCTCGAGCTTTCTGCGCGGGTTAGGGTTAGTGAACCCCTTCTCTGACCCGAATGGATCTTGTTCTTTTCTTCTTCTTCTCTGATTCGAAGACGGATCTCTTCTGTTCTTGCCGTGCGCCGGTGTAGAACAGCGGTGCTATCATCTTTTCCCCCCACGCGGTGGCGGTGGTTTTTCTTTCTTCTTTTACCCGGTTAGGGTTAGGGAAACAGAGGCAACCTGACTCTGGTACCATTGTTAGGATCGATGTGTGTACCTCTGTGTGTAACCGTAGATCCGATTAGCCTCCTTAATGTTTCTCTTTGCGGCACAAGAACGAGACGCTTGGTGCGCGGTGTAGTAGGAGTCGCCCGGTAGCGGTGGAGAGAGAAGTCGATGGCGCCATGGCGGAGAACTGCAGCAGCGCGACGATGGTGGTGGGGCACATCCCGTCGCTAGCAGCACAGTCTTTAGATCGGTTTAGGGTTACTGTAGGTGGGAGTGGCGGCTCACGGCGAACCTCGTAGTTCGAGCCCCGATCCCCACCTTCTCTATTTGTATGTGCTGTGCGATAGGGGCCCACCAACCAGTTAGGGTTGGGCTCCCCCGATCAGGGAGCAGAGGCAAGGGCCCAATAGGCCGTTGGGCCTATTGGTGGAGATCAACTAACAAAATCTCGACCATCTTTGGCTTTGTACATCGTTTCGCAAAGAAGACTGCGCAGTTGAAGCCTAAATCAAAGGCTGATCGACTCTGTTTCCTCGGCACTGATATGTCCCCTGCCCACTATCACTCACGAAGGAGCCCAGCAGACGCCTGGGGTGGCGGTTGGCATTCGCCCATCAAGTATGTTACCATACATGTGCGAGAGGGAACCAGATGCAATGTGAGATGCACTATATATACTAACATAAGCTATTTTTCTTTAATGAGGGCTATGCTGCGTTCAACTTTTTGCTTGGCTCCGCCATGATCTCCATAAGGTATACTTTTCCTTTGCCCCCGCTAAACTTGGACACTCTATTTTCCCAATTCTGATGATAAATTGATAACCATGCTCTTGTCTCGTTGATATTTCTTACAATAGTGCACACACTGCACAGTAGTCTAGCTGAAATGCATTGCCACTCGTGTAGGAACGACCATCAAATTCGACTAGACGGTGCCGATAGTCTTGAGATGCTATATCCCCCACCTTTTATAGGTGTTACAACTTATGAGCCTTAAACACAGGATCTTAATCCCCTAACTCTGTAGTAGAACACCTAGGTACCTTAGACATTTGAGACTTCGCTGTTCTTAGTACATACCTTTAGATCTGAGATGTCCATGGGGCCGCTGAAGTCCCCGTGCCTGCTCGAACGTTAGTCATAGCGTCAAACTCCCCTGCAATGGCCATCGGTGGCGAGGACACCGACACAAGGGTGGCCGGCGGCTGGCTCCTGGACTTCAGGGGATCACCGAGCTTACCTTGACTGATAGGCTTTTAGGGTGTCTAATCGCAGTATTATCGCTAATTGATTAGGTACCGTGACCCCTTTCTTATAGCTTGGGAACCCTAGGACTAGGCTAGTGAACGTGAGATCTGTGGGGTCCATCAGTCATGGACTTGTTAGTGGGTCCTTAAGCCCCTAATGACTCGGTAGTCATTTGACTAAGCCGAGATGACTCCAATGTTCTCCCCCTTGATCGAATGGCTTAGTAATTTTATTATTATTAGTTCTATTCTCAATAGAACAATATACTAAAACGAAAAATCATAACAGCCAGTGAAGCACCATTAGATCAAGCATGTCTAGTAGACCACTCTACATCGAATAGAACGGTTACTTACGCTTATTAAACAAGAACTTATGGGGACATAACATTATGTCTTAAAACCACTCTTCTACAGAACAATACACTAAGATAAAATGATTGCAACAGTCAATTAAGCACGGATGAACCCAATCACTATAGCGTACCATTCATATCTCAGAAATAGTTCATTCCTAGTCTTATGATGGCCTCTTTATGGTCCTATTGTGAAGTTTGTTTTCACTTATACTTTTGTGCATATATAAAGAATTATTTATACTTCCAAAATCACAATTTTGAGATCTCAATCTTATCCCATATGGTATGCTACCAATAAACTTAATGCCGACAACTTAAGGTAGACCTATGGTGGGAAAACTTAAATTGAATATGGTGCTCAACACTTAGAACTTAAACACTTAAAACTTTAAACTTACTTAAAGAGCACCAACATCTTAAACTTATATGATTAACTTTGATTCAGGGTTGATCTTTCACACTATCTTTGGTTTGGCAAAACCACATGGCATGTTACTTGAACCAAAAGAAGCTGCACTTCTTATGTACAACATATTCCAGGATGAATATCTTATGCTAAAAGTTACATATAATAGTAATAACTTTATTCTTAATAAACTAAGATGAACTCAAATTATATTAATTAAACATGCTATAGCTTACTTTCATATTAGAAGCTATACTTTAAAGATAGGTTGGAGCCATTCCACTGGCTCTCCCCAACACATCTTGCAAAAAGAAGATTAATGTCATATCAACCTATAACTTAGTGGTTACTAGACTTCTTATTCATGAACATGTTATACTTTATATGCATAAAAGCAAGAATACGTTATAACTTTCCAGGGGTCCATAAAGTTTGCCAAGAATCCCGATCATAAGCTTTAAGGGCGTGTATTAGTTTAGTCATTATACTCATAACTTAATTATAATACTTATTACTTAATTATAATACTTATATATAATGCTTATGTCAATGTATATCTAATGAAGAAAAATTATCGCCCTTATATTGGAGTATGACTTATCTTTGAACTTATAAAATAATTTCAAATACTCCCTTTTCTGGACCTATCGTGATGAATCTTAGTCTTACTAAACAAATAAGTATAAGAAATATCACCAAGATAAACTTATGTAATATCTCTATTGTTTTACTTATAGTCAATAAAATAATTAACTTTATACCTCTGCTTAGCTTATCTTATTGTGATTATGAAACCAATGGCAGACAAGAGCCTCTAATGAACTTGTTATTTCATTATGGATAGCTTTTATCATTTCCCTTTAAAGTCTCTTTAGGTTATGTGGACCCATAATGGTCCATTGTTTTGACTCTATTAGGGATTTCTTATTATCTGTAGAATGAATGGATGCCAAAAGAGATTGACTTACCCTTAACTTATTGAACTTAATTTTGTCATTCCATCACATGAAACTTAATACACTTAATGAAGTGGATTATTGTAAAACTCTACATCTATCCCCCAGAAAATGTGAACCAAACAACAGTATAACATTTCGAAGTCAATATAAAGTCCACTTCATGAGGTTACTTTAACTATATGTTATCTTAGTCTTTTCTATGCTCATTTGCCCTTCTTTTATGTGCTAAAACTAAAACCCTAGAGCTCTTAATCGCTTAAAACTTTAACAGATCGAATGAATCGATGTTTAATCTAGGGTCCTAAGATAGATGGGGTGGCAACACTGATACCAATTGTTAGAACTTATGAGCCTTAGACACATGATCTTAACCCCTTAACTCTGCAGTAGAACACCTTGGTATCTTAGACATTTGAGACTTCGCTGTTCTTAGTACATACCTTTAGATCGGACGTCAGGCATGGCGTCAAACTCCTAGGTATCTCTTCCCCGTGCCTGCTCGAACGTCAGGCATGGCGGCAAACTCCCCTGCAATGGCCGTCGGTGGTGAGGATACCGGCACAAGGGTGGCCGGCGGCTGGCTCGTGGTCTTCAAAGGATCACCGAGCTTATCTTGACTGATAGACTATTAGGGTGGCTAATCATGATATTAACGCTAATTGATTAGGTACCATGGCCCCTTTCTTATAGCTCGGGAACCTAGGACCAGGCCAGTGAACGTAAGATCTGTGGGATCCATCAGTCATGGACTTGTTAGTGGGCCTACTCAAAGGAGTCCAGCCGGTTACTCATATCTGGGTTATTTAGATATATCTTTGCAACAGTAATGTTCATGCAGATCGCTTTAGAATTCATTTATGCTGACTTTATCTCCAATTAGTTAAGTCTTGTTTATCTTACTACAAGGTTTACTGGGTTCTTACTACACTATGGTGGAAAAGCTGTTTGGAACCAGTGGTGGTATCTTTCTCTCGTATGCATACTTGCTCGCCCAAAAGCCGCAAGGGAGTGTCGAAGGAATTTGGATGGCCATATTCATAGGAATCTTCATAGCATCACTAAGCAATTTCATTCTGTTAATCCATGCTTCATACTTGAAAGAGAGGGGGTCCATTGACGGCTATGAGCCTGGAATCCTTAAATGGCTGATGCTTTTAGTGCTGGCATTCCTTTATGCACTATTTTGTATCCTACTGCGCAGGGGCGACGCCAGGTACAGCTTGCCTGGTGCCCAGGCACCAGGGTACGAAAATGTTTTACCACTACACAGTTTCAAAATTACTATATATTTTAAGAGAATTATATATGCTATTTGAGTTGTGCACCGGGGTCATTTCATCACTGGCTTCGCCCCTGCTACTGCGGGCTTTTGCAAATGCCTCCGACTTAGTTTTATGGCTCATCGGAATCATAGGCCTCTGCTCAATAGTGCTCGGTTGGGTTTGGTTCTTTTACACAAAGTGGCCGAAGGTATTGTGGTTTTGTTGGTAACAATAGTATAGTACTTGATCAAAAAGAGTGAAGAACTGAAGGTAGATGTCATATTGTGCTTTGATACTGTTCTTTTCTCCTCCCTTTCAGATTCTGGAAGAAATTGATGCGTATCAAAGAAATTGGGATGTCTGAGATCACTGGCTCTGCCTCCAGAGGTGGCGGTTCAGATAGGTAATCTACTCCTTAATTTAATTATAATCTGTGTTATTTGAAATTATATCAGAGGTTGGGTGTTTGTAAGGAAAGATAGTGCACAAACGTACAGAAGCATATTTGGATGGATCCTTGGTTGTTTGTTTTTCGTTCGCCTCTTTATCGTTGATTTGTTGAGTATGGCGTTTTTTGACTGCAGGCCAACAGGTATCTACGCAATTGAAGTGAGATGAAGCTTATTAAAGATCTATCAAGTAGCTGAAGGAATTCGGGGGCTTCTATATAATCAAGATAATTTTTCCCCAGTGAAGCAACTTTAATATTTATTCACAAGTCAACTTATTATGACTTTGTATTTATCTAAGTGATTGCTTTACGGCCCGCACCTAGTGCACTGTAGGAGCAAATGTAATGTTTGATATGTGTTTTCTTCTCCTCCTTGTAGTTATGTAGTTCTCCTTTGGCCTAGGCCTTGTTACTTCCCCTATTTTTTTTTTATAAACAGCAGGTCTTGCTAGTTTACATTTTTTAAAAAAGGGCATACCTAGTGCAGAGAGCTCCGTTCTGTGCGGGGTCTGGAGAAGGGTGCCAGTGGCAAGCCTTATCCTCGCCTGTGCAATGCGATGAGACCGCGACTCGAACTCGGGATCTTCCGGTCATAGGCGGTAAGACTCTACCGCTTGCACCAGGCCCTGTTTGTAGAGTCAGGAAAGATTTGACCTAAACAATTAGCCCTGTTTGTTTTCACTTTGGACCGTGAAAAGCAGCTTGCCGATTATATATTCTAAATAAAAACAGGATTGCAATAGCTGAGATTGTAAATATCTAGGGTTGTTTAGCGTCCTGAATTGTCAGAGGGCTGGATAGTTGTCTCTAGTTGCGCGTTGTTCATAGTACCCCCATCTTTGTATATCTAGTTATTACTTTTATCCATTTTAGATCATTATTTGCCCTACTTATTATGTCCTTATTTCTTCATAAAAAAAACTGGCCTGATAAGATACATTGTGTTATCATAATTTTGCCCTTACAAATAATACATCAAAACTACTTCGTCATAGCAAACAAAGCATTAGCAATACTATCACGAAACAAATCCATGTCAGGAGTTTCATATCCTACTTCATTGCCAACATCTCCTGGGATGAAGATGCCTCGGTCATGTAATTTTCATATTGATGACAATTATCAAATCTCTATCTCTTAATGCACTATCTTCAATGAAATTATGGAGATCAATGCATGCAATGGTTATTTTTCTTTGCTTATTAATAGGATAACTTGGGAGGTTCCATAATATCACCCATTTCATCTTCGGCCGAATGATCGCTCTATCACATTGTGAAGGGATCACTAGAAGAAGTTATACATGTCCATTTTAATAAAGGTAGGACTACGGCATCGTTGAAATTCCAGTACATGGCATGTCTCTCCTTTAATTTGTATATGAAGCTAGGTAACTCTCTCTCTCTCTCGCGATTAGGATAGTTATAATCAACAAGACAATATTTACCTAAAAGATAAAATGCTATATTAACTCTATTAAAAATGAGGGTTTTACCTTATACCAATAATTAAAATAGATGGTCCTGGTCTATAAGCCACTAAAAAGTTTGAGCGCACCTATGTGCCACTCACCTAAATTTTTTTGTCGTCAAAGCCATTCTGTCCACTTTTGCCTCTAACAGTATCAAACCGCGGTGAGAAAAGTCTAAAATACCCTCAAGTCTGAACGCCGTGCAAAAGTTCATCGTTCCTCTAGTGCCACTGACCCTCAGTGCTAATATACAAGGATTACAAGCTAGTTGGTTTATTAGCCGTATAGATCATTTGTGCTAGCAAAGGGGGGGGGGGCTAAGAAATTTTGTACGTGTACTCGTACGAAGAAAAGATGCAAGCTAGCATGTGCAGGGGGAGTTCACGTACAGAACCCTGTATCTTGTGCATGCCTAGTTTGACGAAGGAAGGAAACCCGTACGCGAGCCATGTGCATGCCTTGCTGGCGCCGGAGTCAAGATCAGCTCCCGCCTCCCGGGCCGCAGCCGCGTCGTCGTGCCTACGAGATCGTACCTGCCCATGGTCGTAGCATCCGTCCTTTGCCGACGCCGGCAAAGACGGGACTGAACTTGGAGTGCGCCCGCACGCGGCAGCTGCCGTTGCCAGTGGCATAGAGCCGGAGGTGGAGGGAGATGGAGTCCGAGCCCTTGGCGACGTCAGTGCCGCCCGCCGACGTGGAAGCGGCCGGAGGAGACGCGCTCGCCGCCGGGGACCATATTGACATGGGCACAAAAAATGACATCTGCATGAACGTGTACGACGAACTTGCTGCTGCCGCATGGCGCCGCGCCACCGGCGGCGGACATGGACATGTAGAGCATGAAAACTGTTGCGGCGGACCTCGCGTCTGTTTCCGTCGCGACCTCGTTGCCGGCCGCGCAGGGCTCCCCCAAGACCGCTCCAGCCCCGACGCCTGAGCCTCGCCGCCACCCGTGGACGCGCGGGCCGTCCTCGACACGGCAGCGCGAGCGCCCCGCCCCGCCACTACGTAAAAAACGATTTTTAGCAACGGTTCGAATTTTTTGTAGGAACAGCTGGTGATGGAGTCGCCCCTACAGTGACGTGCTCGGGTGTCCAGACACCAGCCGTCCCTACAAATGGAACAGCTGGGGCGGCTGGTGATACGAGCCGCCCCAACAAATAGGGTCTGATTTGTAGGGGCGGCTCACTCACCGGCCACCCCCGGCGTTGCTATTTGTAGGGGCAGCTGGTGATTGAGCCGTCCCTACAAATGCCCTCGTATAAATAGCTCCGATTTGTAGGGGCGGCTCAATCACCAGCCGCCCCTATAAATGACCCATATATAAAACAGCTGCGACACCTTTTTCCTTCTCGGGTCACTCACTCCAACCCGTGGGAAAAGGTGGGAAGGCTTTGGACACCTCTCAAAAATTACTCTACTAAGGGGGGAAGGTTTTGGTCTCAAATCCTTTGGTGGAGAGGTTGTCGAAGGTAAGAAAATGCTATTCCACATTTTTTTGAAGTTTTAATGGTTGGTTAGTGAGTAATTAGAGTTTTGTTTTTCTCTCTCTTCTACGATGCTTGAGCTACTTATGAAGCAAATTAGACCCATATTTTAAATGTACTAGGGTAAATTAGGGAGGGGAACAAGATCATACCCTTATTTAGTCAATGTTTCTTGATTTTAGTGAACAATTAGTTAGCTTTATGGATGTTTCATGTGCATGTGAATCTAGATCTAGGGTTTGATTTTTTTATTAATTTCGTTTTTGTAAATTTATGTTTGATAAAATTGGACTAGGGTTTGTATGAAAGATATTGGGTAAAGTATAATTGTTGCTAATTGTTGTCTTTGAAATTGTTTATTGTAATCAATAAATATGTATTTTAATTATTTATAGATAAATGAGTAATTAATTAATTTTTCTCTACCATGGTGTGTTTGTATGCTTCATGTAATTATATTAGATTTATATTCATATATATCTGAAGTATATACAATTATTCTCAAGTAATTATTAATTTGATTCATTTTTATATATATCTGAATAAGTAGTCCTTTAATGTTTGTTTTGTTGTTGTTGTTGTAAAAGATAGAGTACAGGAACTCTTGGATGTATGGTTCGTTAAGGTTCAAGGCAGGTTTCCGTGAAGAGGTGGATAAATTTATTGAAGCCGCAAAGAAGCATGCAACGACATTGAAAGAGAATAAGGATACAATTATTTGCCATTGTAAAGATTGCAAGAACCGTATGGCATGGACAGATGTAACTATCATCAGATCACACTTGATTATGTGAGGATTTGTTGAGGGCTACACAGTGTGGATTTATCATGGTGAAACGGTTATTGTTAACGACGAGGATAAGGAGGAATACGACGACAAAACCATAGAATCCCTATCCCAATATTCAGCAGAGCTTGATGCATGAATGGATTTCGAGTTTAGCAATGAACAAGATGGTGATGCTGGTGGTTGGGATGGTAACGACGAAGGTGGTGCCAATAATGATGGTGGAGCACGTGTCGGGGATGAAGATGATTTGGAGGACATGATTCGAGCCCTTGAACCAGAGATTTTACTAAATAGCCCGAAAGATCTAGAAAATTTGGAAAGGGTGACAAAAGCATCGAAGGAGACTATGTATGGTGTTGAAAAGGGCTGTTCGACACATTGGACATTGCTACGTTTTGTGCTTGACCTGCTCATCCTAAAGGCTAAGTACGGCTGGTCAGACTGTAGTTTCAATGATCTATTGCATCTCCTGTCATGGGTGCTGCCACAACCAAACTCAGTTCCCGCCAACACATACCAAGCGAAGAAGGTCATAAGTCCATTGACAATGGGGGTTGAAAAAATCCATGCATGCCCCAACCACTGTATACTTTTTTATGGTGAAACATTCAAGTCACTTGATAAATGTTCCCGGTGTGGGGCCAGCCGGTACAAGAACAATGACCTTTACGGTGGGAACGAATCCTCCATGGGGAAAAAAAGGAATAAGAAGGGTACAAAAAAGATGGTACAAGAATCTCAGCCCCCAGAAGACACTCCATTAGGCAACGATGTAAAGCAGAGAAGAATTTCTGCCTTGGTAATGTGGTATCTGCCAGTAACCAACCGCTTGAGACGTATCTTCCTAAACCCTAAAGAAGCCACACTCATGACATGATGGGATGATGAGCGCAAGGTGGATGATGATAAGATTACACACCCGACTGATTGTAGTCAGTGGCAAAAGTTTGATGAGAAGCACAAAGAATTCAGCGATGACCTAAGGAATGTACGATTTGGCTTGAGCACCGATGGAATGAATCCCTTCAATGAGAGGATGAGCGACCACAGTACATGGCCAGTGATCTTGACCATGTACAACATCCCAACATGGTTGTGTCAGAAGAGAAAGTACCTTCTCCTCACTATTCTTATTTCTGACCCTAAACAACCAGGCATTGATATAGACGTGTTCCTCAAGCCTTTGATGCAATAAATGGAGAGGCTATGGAGGCATGGGGAGCAGATGTACGATGCGTTTCGAAAGGAGGACTTCATATGTAGAGCAATAATACTTGTTACTACTAATGATTACCCCACGCTGTTTGCTTTGTCTGGATAGATCAAAGGAAAGATGGGATGCTTGGTTTGCTTGGATGGTACTACATGGGTGTACCTGGATGCATCCAAGAAGATAGTTTACCTAAGGAACCGACGCTT